AACCCGTGGCATTTGGCATTCGAAGAAGCGTAGCCTGTAACGCCGCTATTTTGGCAAAATTCTCCCGGTCGGGGAAGATAAATAGAATGTTAAGCCCCATGATATCATCAAGACTTTACGGCTCGAATAGACGCTGTCTCTTGCCAGGCATTCCGTGACTACAAATCACAACGAACTTTCTAGTCCAACAGTACTATCGAACCCGAGATAACTGGGTTAGTGAACCAGCACGTTCCTCACCGTGGCCCCCTTCGATGTACTTATCTTTCTATGTATCTTAGTATGTAATCTGAATATATAGCGGATAGCCTCTAACAATCTCTAATTAAAGTTGCTCGTCCATAAGTTGGGTTGGGGGGATCACGTGGCTAAGTGGGTAAGACGCTGGCTCGCTAGCCTGGAGGTCGGGTGTTCGATCCCTGCATTGGCCGAGAAAGTTCATCCAGATTTTCCGGCGTGGTTCCCCCTTGTCAGTGATGCAGGACGGAGGGCCTAACAAGGACAGCTGTCTAGTCCTTCGGATGAGACGAAAAACCGAGGTCCCATGTATACATTGGAATGCACGTAAAAAATCCCTTGGCAGTTGGAATTCAATATAAGAGTAGGCGATAGTGCCGCTGCCCGGGCAAAATTTCCCTAATAGCAAACTGTATGGCGTATGCCTGTCTTCATTAGCCCAGTTTAGGAGCAGAACAGTAGGACGTTAAACCCCATTTCATTTCATTTCATTTCCATAAGTTGGAGTGAACCCGTGACCATGGTTACCCAGTACTTTACTCACCGTGGCCCCCTTCCCGTTTCGATGTACTCGTGTTTCTATTTATCACAGTAATCTGAAATTAGTTTTTCTTTAAATATTGCTTCATGAAACTGTATAATGGGTAGCTTGAAGCAATCTTTAATTATATTACATAAAACGGTGCTAGAATTTCCTCGGCTTTTAAACTCTAATGTTACAAGTAAAAGGTTAATTCTTCACCTCATTTACCTTCAATCGATTTATACCATCATAAAAAAAGATTTTCGTTCAAGAGGGATTTAAAAAATCAAAGACGATGGATAGAATAAGTCCGGCGTATTACTTCCATTACAGTCGATCGTCTATCTTCAACAAGCTTACTTAAAGGGCATATGGCTCTATTTTTCTAACCTTATAATAGACGAAAATGCTTCTAAGAACACACACTAATTTATTATGAATGAATGCATAGTGATTTATATTCAAACCGAACGGCAGTCGTTTACACCTGCTTGGTTCATTCTACACGTTTTTTGGTTTGTTTTTTTTTATTTGTCGTTTGCGAATCAACCTTTATTAATTACTTTTGCATTGTCTTGTAGGGTATGTTTTTATTTGTCCATTACAAATGGCACCCGAAACCATAAAGCACACGACTCGTGTACTGATTATAAAATTTCGTTTTTTCTTAAATATTAGATATTAGAATCCCATATTTTCACGGCACAACAACGACATGGGTGCGCATTGAAATATTACTGAATTCTAATTCGTGTTTTCAAATTGGAAAATAGAGAGATTTTGCCCCTTTAACAAATGACGTTTGTTGTTTTAAGATCACACCTGATTGGACATTATGGCAAATTTACCACTAACTAGTGTCAGAAAACAGGCCAAAAGGAAATGAAATGGGGTTAAAGTAGTCATTTTTCTTCTCCATATTTGTTAATGTGCCATACAGTGTCCTAACAGGAAATGTTTCCGGGGTGGTGGTGTTGTCGGCTACTTCTCTTCGTATCCCAACTCTCATGGGGTCTTTTACGTGCATGCCAACGAGAGCACGGATGGACTGGATGCTATTTCTATCACACAAGAGGAACTTTCTCGATCAACACGTGGGGATCTTTAGCAATGGGAGGAAACCGGAGAAAACTCACGAGGATGGACATGCGACCCTACTCCTTGCCATGTACAACCGGGGATTCGAAACCACGCCATTTGACTCAATGATAGACCTTATGATCCAGCACACATGTGCTAACCATTCGGCCATCCAACCCCCCTGTATACCAGACAAGATCGGGGTTGGGGCAACATTTGCTAATTAAAGGAATTTCATTTGTCAGTTCAATGTATGACTTGATAATCGAGAAAAACACATACCATTAAACGCCGAAAGGTACATAGACGTGGTTATCCAGCCCCATAAAATAGGGTGGCATGTTTACAAATGAAATGAAATGGGATTTAACGTCCTATTGTTGAACTGCTCCGAACTGGGCTTATTACCAACCTCGTATGGAAGCCGAAAGTTTGTGTTTCCGTGGAAAAAATATCATAGAGTATATTTTTTTTTAAAAATGCGTGGATTATAACTTATTTCATTCAGTAAAATATGCGTGGGATAACTCTATTAATAACCAACAAAATAATAGTCTTATATTAATATGTTTTAAGGTTATAAATCTTAATAATCAATAATCAATACTATCAAGTTTTTGTCCCATCCGAACGACTAGACAGCTGTCTTTGTCAGGCCCTCCATCCTGCACCTCCAACCTCGTGGGTTTTCTCCGGGTCCTTCGGTTTCCTCCCACTGCTAAAGACCCCTACGTGCAAGCGAATTATTGAAATAAAATTAAACCATATGTTGGTCCCCAAATGACCTAGTTTGTGTCGAGTGGACGTTAAACCCCATTTCTCTCTCTCACCCTCCATCCCGCACCAGTGACAAGGGGGGGGGGGGGGCACGTCGGAAAATCCCGATGAACTTTATCGGCGAATACCGAGAGCGAACTCGCGACCTCCAGACTAGCAATCGAGTGTCTTACTCACTTAGCCACCGTGCCCCCCCCCCCCCGCCCCCCACCGATAGCATTCTACATATCGGCATGGTGTGCGTTCTAAATACTGTTGTCTGTTCGCTATGAATGTTGTTGTCTTTATTCGTGGGAAATTTGAAGGAAACCGACAAATCTCCATTAACGTGGGCGGGCATAAAGACAAACAAAGCTGTGTTTGATATACCCCATTAATTGATGACGTAGAGAGGATGTAAATTATGAATTATCGGTGATAATTAATGTATATTATATGTTGAATATATCTAGAAATACTCGTTAATAGGAAATATGACCGGATTTATAATTACTGGAGATATCATGAATATTGAAGATATTTAATTGATCATAAAGATCAGTACGAGTATTCACGACGTTATTATATTTAAAGTAGCTAAGTCTCTAACTCAATATCATCAAAAATCTTCGACATTGAAAACACGAATTATTTGTCAGTTCAAATCAACATTGGTCTTGTAAACTTACAGGGAAAAGATGGGCTTCTGATATCCAATATTCAAGACAAAATAAACATTTTACCATTGGTACACGAATCGTGTACCATAATGCGCTTCAGCGCCATTTGCACAAGGGCCACAAAGAACAGGGCTAGACATATTCCACAAGTCATGTCAAATGGTGAAGCTATATTCTTATCTGGAGAGCATGCGCAATAAATACCATCGGTGTAGACTGGAAAAACCAGATGCTAAAGATTGCCATTCACATGAGACTTCTGGCGTATTTCGCCGAACAAAACTGATTAGAATTTACAGTAAAAACAGAAACGATTGAATGTAAATCAATTTATATACATTCATATTACATTATTATATGCGTTGCAACCCATTTTTGTCAATTTCTAGGTCCTAAATATTAGCGATTTAGCTCCTTTAAATACCAGGACATATTGGGTAAGCAGAATGTCTAGGATCTAATATTCACGGCGTTATTATATTTAAATAACCATTATTTTACGTCATAGTCCAATATTTCGGCTTCTCTAAGGAACTCGGATGCTTCATCAATTCATTATAACATTCCCCAGCTATGCATGTGGGGAACATTATCCCAGGGGGGGGGGGGGGTCTACCAAGCATGCACACATAGCCCAGATGAACAAGCTGACTCTCTTACTACAGGCTTTGGACCGCGCGTCAATACAACCTACTTTGGTTTTGTCAGATAGAACAGTCTTTGCAACAACGTACGTTGTTATTAAATGAAAAGATAGCCACGCAAAGCGTGGAAATGTGCCCACACAACAATAATGTTTCAATAGTTAAACGTAGATGGTTGATCGAATTTGACGTCAAGAAATCCGTCAGATCTGTAGCCTGTCGCGTTAAAGGAGTCTGGGGATGGGTGGGTTCGGAAAGTCATCGAATGCTGATTGTTTATAGAGTTTTTCCTGGCTATAATCTCTATCGTGTTCGCAAGGTTTGGGGGAAAAGGGGGCGTTACTCTGGAACGTGAAATATCGATTGGTTATATCCGTTTATGAATTTAATGCTTCACACCAAACTTGAAAACATTATATTGTAAACTGTTGACTCTATCGTGTTCGCAAGATTAACAGCAAAGGGGCGTAACAGCGGAAGGAAAGATCATGGAATACAAAATATCGATCCCAATGCTTGACACCAAAATCGTTAAAGTCTGTACCCTATGTTGCGTTGATAAGTTTTCCTGTAAATGCGAGGAGGGGGTGGAGGTGGGTGTGCGTGTATGTGTGTGTGAATATCAATATCTGGTTTGAGCATGATTACCGTCATTATCTATGTTGAAATCTCGTGTAAAACTGTGTCATTTGGATGTTACACTTGTATTTATCAGTTTTTATCACACATGTGTGACGAATGCATTATATTATTAGAATATCGCCATTTCTATATCCAATCTGAAATCTAAGGAGGAAAAATGATGAAACGTTTTCCTTGTTGGGGTTTAGATATATTTAGAACGTTCAGATTAACCACGCAACGCTCGTCTACGTCCATGTTCTGTTGGGACAAATTTAAACGGTCTCCATCTGTTGTACATAAATAACTTTAGTGGGGGTGTTGGATATCTCTAATGTGTACACGGGACCTTGGGTTTTATTCCAATCCGAACGACTATATTGTTTCTTGCCAGACTCCCTGTCCGTGCCCAGGACCGGATTAAGGGTCCCTAGTTGAAAATGTCACCACCGTATAATACACGAGGGTCAGTATAGATTTATTTGTCACAACCGTATACAACACGAGGATCGAATCCCAGGATAACCTGGTCAGTGAGACAACGCCTAATTCGCTGAGTCACCGTTATTACTCAGACTAATTGGATATACCTTATGTAAACAATCGTTGGCGTCGTTTTCTAAATTCTGCTATTTCAATCAAAACTTTTCTCATCGTGTGTATCACGGCTTGTTTAACCTGTAAATAAACAACAAATTTGCTACACAAATACATTATATCTTAAATATATATACCGGAATGAAACGATGTGAGGTTTAAATCCTACTTATTTGCATCGACATGGCTAATGAAGACGGACATGCCCCATGCAGTGTGCTATGAGGTAATTTTGACCGGGCAGCGGCGCTACGGCCTACTCTAATATCGAGTTCCAATAAGACAAACCTGTGGACAAGACAACAACACAGACATTGTAAGTAATAAACAACAAATATCAAATCAAGTGAATGGATCCACGGGCCAGTCAGTGGCGTCCACTGCGCTGTACACAGAGAGAGAGAGAGAGAGAGAGAGAGAGAGAGAGAGATGGGGTTTAACGTCCACTCGAAACAGGCTATGTCATTTCGGGACTGACATATGGTTTAATTCGCCTGCGCGTAGATGTCTTTAGCAGTGTGAGGAAACACTGCGCTGTACAGTCCCGGGCCTGTAAAAAGAAATATACCTCTAATAATAAACAAACTAAACGATCAACTCACAAATTTCTTTTTATCCATATTCCTCTTGTCCTTTAGGCGTGGTAAACCTTTGTCCAATCTGATTGGTGAAACTGGAAAGTCGTAGACTTTAGATTTTTTGGGAGGAACGGGATGTTGAGGTGGCGTGTTAGGAACGATTCCAGATATAGACGGCGACTTGGTCAGATATTGGTACCTCAGAATCTCGTGTTGTTCGGTGAATGATTTCTGGGAAGCGTTTAATGCCTTTAATTTCATAAACTTTGGAGTAGACGTGTTCATATTTTTGTGCCTCTTCATCACACGTCCATTCTTCACACCACCTCTTTTGGGTGTTTGGGGAATATTGGATTGGAGGTAATGCTGTACCTCGGGTCGCCGCTGATGTCTATTAGGCGTTGTACATGGCTTAAAAAGAGCTTCATTTGGACGACGTATAATGGGAGTTTTCGGTGTAGTCGGCAATGACGGGGTGGTTCGATGTGGCTTTGTTGGAGTCTTTGGTGTTGTCGGCATTGTAGGGATATATCGTCGTGGCTTTGTTGGAGTCTTCGGAATATTGTCAGAGTAACGTGGTACTGCTGAGACCAACAAATTATCGATTGGCTGCCTTACGGGTGTTCGATGTATAACAGGAGTGTTTGGTGTGGTTGCTATTACTGGGTTGAATTGCTGTGGCTTTGTTGGAGTCCTCGGAGTGCTGATGATTGAGATGGGGTTAGTTGGTGCGGATGCTGGTATGAGATCTGTTGCTATGCAGCAAGAACGCTTCAGACTCTGAGTTAGTAAATTCTTCGAGACGACATTATGCTTGCACGACTTCTTCGGCAGAGTCTTCTGGTGGGCAAGAGCATTGCTAGAAAAAGATGGTATTTGGCGTGAAGCTTTTGGGGAGTTAGTTGTATCCGATCGATTCCCCTGTGGTGCGCTATAAGTAACTACTCTTCCTACACCTGAAGTTTTCTTTTTCTTTGATTTAGTGTTTTTCTTGAAAGTGGGTACTTTTAATTCTTTCGTTCGGACCTGTGCTAATGGTGGTGATTGACTGTTTGGAATATTCATCGAAGCGGTCGTCCTGCTGGGGGATTGGGTACTAGTGGATTGAGAACTATCACCAACCTCAAGAATCAACGTTGATTTAAAAGGATTCCTGTACAAATTTCTTCTCTGGGTTTCTTTTTCTCTATCCATTGTCTCTATAAATATATTAACGTAATACATTTATTAGTAATATAAAATTATTCACTGTTCTGTATAATATATTAATATAAAATTATTCACTATTCTGTATAATATATTAATATAAAATTATTCACTGTTCTGTATACTATATTAATATAAAATTATTCTCTGTTCTGTATAATTTATTAATATAACATTATTCACTGTTCTCTATAATATATTAATATAACATTATTCACTGTTCTCTATAATATATTAATATAACATTATTCTCTGTTCTGTATAATTTATTAATATAACATTATTCACTGTTCTCTATAATATATTAATATAACATTATTCACTGTTCTGTATAATATATTAATATAAAATTATTCACTGTTCTGTATAATATATTAATATAACATTATTCTCTGTTATGTATAATTTATTAATATAACATTATTCACTGTTCTCTATAATATATTAATATAACATTATTCACTATTCTCTATAATATATTAATATAACATTATTCACTGTTCTCTATAATATATTAATATAACATTATTCACTGTTCTCTATAATATATTAATATAAAATTATTCACTGTTCTGTATAATATATTAATATAAAATTATTCACTGTTCTCTATAATATATTAATATAACATTATTCACTGTTCTCTATAATATATTAATATAAAATTATTCACTATTCTCTATAATATATTAATATAACATTATTCACTGTTCTCTATAATACATTAATATAACATTATTCACTGTTCTCTATAATATATTAATATAACATTATTCACTGTTCTCTATAATATATTAATATAAGTATAACATTATTCACTGTTCTCAATAATATATTAATATAACATTATTCACTGTTCTCTATAATATATTAATATAACATTATTCACCGTTCTCCATAATATATTAATAGAACATTATTCACTATTCCCTATAATATATTAATAGAACATTATTCACTATTCTCTATAATATTTTAATATAACATTATTCACTGTTCTGTGTAATATATTAATATAACATTATTCACCGTTCTCCATAATATATTAATAGAACATTATTCACTATTCTCTATAATATTTTAATATACCGCCTTATTGTAGATACATTATGTATCGGGCCTATCCGATGGCATCGAGAGTTGATTATGGTCTGGATAAGTTAGTAAATGTCTAATTAATAATTTAGATAACATTTCAGTCCTAAAGAAAGCCCTGCAGTAGGCAGATTTAGCTCGTGCATAATGTATGTTTAATATAACATTATTACTGTTCTCCGTGAATAAATTAATATTTTGAGAGATGAATAAATGCAAAAATACAGCATAAATATCATGAACATCCGCAAATATAACAAAAATTGAAACATGGTGTGAAATGATCCGATAAATAATGACTCTAAACGAATAGATATCCATGATATTCTCGGTTACCCTGTACGATCCAAATTGGTAGTTATATGGTTGTTATTGGTAACAATATTATGACATATAGCAGACATAATAATGCTCACAAGATAAAACTTGACATGTAATTATATTTTCATGTTTTGACTGTGATATGATATTCTACATGGTGTTACACACAATTTATATTCTGGGGTCATGTTTCCTTCTAGTTTATCCTAGATCGCCATCTTTATTGCGATACCACCTTGGAATTAACGTCGTTCGCACTGTGCATTTATTATAGGTTATTTTGAGACTAATACTACAGTATTTCATGTACCAGGCTAGAGGAGGGGAGGTGGGAGTGGGGGGGGGGGGGTATAATAGGGAACTTGTCTTTAGTAGGGTATCGTAACACTGTACTTTTTCATGTACCAGACTAGAGGAGGGGGGGGGGGGTTATAATAGGGACCTAGTCGTTAGTAGGGTATCGTCACACTGTACTGTTTCATGTACCAGGCTAGAGAAGGAGGGGGGAGAGTGGGTGGGGTATAATAGGGACTTTTGAATAAAATTTGTTCTTTCGTTAGAGCAGATTAACGTCTGTTTCCTTCGAGGGAGTTATCGCTGACAAATGAAAGGCAGGTTTTAACTCCATCCGAGCTAAAAAAAAAACAACGCTCTGTTTTCTGTCCCATCCGAACGGCCAGGCATTGTTTCTTGCCACGCTCGCTGACAAGGGGAAACAACGCAGTGCAACGTTTCTGTATTGTAGCCTGGTATTCCTGGTAAGTCAACCAGAGTCTTACTCATTGAACCACCACGGCTATACATGCAAATACCTTAAATATACATTATGCAAGAGCTAAATCTGCTGATTACATGTCTTTTTTTAGACCGTAAATGTTATATAAATTATTAATTAGACATTAATTAACTTACCCAGACCATAATCAACTCTCGATGCCATTTAAATACGGTTAATGATTTAGTTCTAAACTGGATAATCGAGACTTTATTTACCATCGTAACAAATAAATTATTGTGCCTATCGTTCTGTAATCGACGATTATTCCACACAGAGTGCAGTAATTTGACTGAAATTTTCAACATATTCCCTTTTCATTATCTTTTGTTTTAACTATTATAGCGAGAACTGTCAGCTCTTTATCTAAAACTTACATAATGCATGTTTAAATATTAGTAAGTTTAACCGTTATAGCGAAGAGGGAGAGGGAGAGAGAGAAAGAGAGAGGGGGGGGGGTAACGTCCACTCGACACAAACTAGACTAACATATGGTTCAATTTTATTTCCATAATTCACTTGCGCGTAGGGGTCTTTAGCAGTGGGAGGACACCGGAGGACCCGGAGTAAACCCACGAGGTTGGACAGGCGATCCTACTCCTTGTCACGTACAACCGGGGAATGGAAACCACGCCAGTTGACTCAATCCGGAGAATACTAAGAAGGATGGGAAGCTAGGAAAATGTGAATGATTCTGAATCTGATGGGGTTTTTTTTTATAAATCATTGTCAATGTTCCAGACAATAAATAAAATACAAAATGCGGATAATAACAAATGTGATCATTGCCGACTGAAATAGAATTTATTAAACTAATAGATGACGAGCTGTTAGAGAATAACAGATTGAGAATAATAAATACAGAATAAGCATTTCATTAGTCAAGTTACAGACTGAAAATACCGAGAATTCCCATAAATAATATCAATCTTGTAAGATATTTATACAGAATAAACAATAAGTCCATCGATTGATATTTGATGCAGACTCAATTAACTGCGAGGATATCTGAATAATGTCATAATTGAGTTTCTAAGCAAAATGCAAAATGTTACAATATTGTTCCCTTTTTGTCGTGGCAGTTAATAAATAATTTCATAGTTTGGAGAGTTGGAGAGAGAGAGAGAGAGAGAGAGAGAGAGAGAGAGAGAGGGAAATTATTTCAATTTTCAAGTTAGGCAAGGTTAAGGTTACTCTCTGCCTTATATACAACTGGCGGTAGTTTTTACTTTGATGTTCATAGCAGTTATATCTCATAACAACCTGTCATGACATCATCATTGGTTGATATATTCGTTCATATCAACCGCTGATGACGTCATGACAGGTTGATATTGCTAATGACATCATCTCAGGTCAATATATTCGGCTCATATCAACCGCTGATGACGTAGATGATCGAAATAATACAAAAAAACCCCACAGATATAAATTTTTATTCTTTTGACAATTAAAATTTGTTATGGTACAGTTTCTAACATTCAGGACCGAAATAGACGGCGTACTTATCGACATACATGTATTTAGATCGGTTATCCATGTCTAAGACATCTTTCAGAATTTTCTTTTCGTCCACATTGCGATTATTTCTCCACACACTACAAGACTTGAAAGTATTTATCGCCCAAGAGTTCCTTTGTAAAGTATTTTTGGGTACAGTCCACTTAAAACAGTCGGTCAAATCCTTCTCTGAACATACCGAAAACCTTCAATCATGGTTCATTGTCAGAATTCTTGGAAAAGAATGCCTTTTGGTCCAAATTTTCTGCAGGCTTTGGATAGATCCTCGTCGATATTTGCATTCACATCTATTTCATCGTCAATATGTTGGCTAAAAAGGATTGTGTATTCGTCTGACTTCGTATTACTATCCATTTTGTTTTTGCTTTCAATTCAATAGTCACAAAATGGCGACGTATAAACAAAAACATGCACGTCATTGCACGTGATTACTTCGGTAATTTTCGCTATTTAGCGGAAACTATCGAGCAATTATCCAATCGTTGTTGCCTTTTAATGGAAGAGCCCATTAAATTTAAGGGTGAACTGGCGTTGTATATGTCGGATATAAACCTACTCTCCCTATACCTCGGGTAGGTTAATATCCTATACGTACAAGCTTTGGATCGAAATCACAAGCAACCAGTCTCTAGTCGTTGGGATGGGACGAAAAACCGAGGTCCCGTGTACACATTGGCGTACATGTAAAACAGTTGGAATTCGATGTAAGAGTAGGCCTTAGCGCCGCTGTCTGGGCAAAATGTCCCCCATAGCATACGGTATGGCGTATGTCAGTCTTCATTAGCTCAGTCGGAACAGAAGGGCAGGACGTTAAACCCCATTTTATTTGATTTGACGTTGTAAACAAGTGATATAAAAGATTAATGGATTAATCAGCCGGATCTATGTTGATGAGGCTAAATGTACACTAGTGAAGGTAAATGACCATGCATGGTATATCTGGGGAAAACAACCATTACCAACATGGAATAATGCCGGTCAATATCAATAACTCACAATTCTCGGTCAAGGATCAAATAAATCTCTTCTTTTATCCTACTCTTTGTTCTCAAGTGATTAATGTATTATAGCCGACAGGGTAGATACTGAATTAAATTAAGCAAATCAATTCAAATTGGGCTGAACGTCCTTTTCTTTCTTTACCAAATGAGCTAATAAAGGCGGGCATACGCAATGACTTGTGTTATGGGGACATTTTGTACGGGTAGCGGCACTATGGCAATTAAATGAAATGTCCTACTTAACCGCACGAACACAACCAATGAAGACGGGAATACGCTA